CACTCACGCACGCTGCATCTCACGTCATCGGCCATCACATCTTAATGGCTTCTTCACCCACGCGCGAGGCCTATTTTCGGCTCTCTTCTGGGCCTCCTCCCCCTTCTCCCCCAGCCAAACTTCCCTCCCGACTTTCTGGAGCACTCTTGTGTGACTTCAAACCAGCACCCATAATTAGGGCCACTTCTGGATTGAGCCCACTTAATTGTCCACTCGTCGCGTCCGCATTTCACGTCGAGTTCTCAATTCCGTCGCGAGAGAGTCATTAGAGAAAGTTCCAACACACCCACAATTGTAGGTCAATTGAAGGATTTCTTCCTCATGCCTCGATATTCTCAGACTAAAGGTCTCACCGACGCTTTGTCACAGCACACAAAACCTCATGAACTGAATGTCACACTGTCCAAAAAGTCTATTTGAAATATTTGGAAATACTCCACGAACATTAGCATAATAAAATGCGTCTTGAAACAAATTCATAACATTCCCAATCAAGTTCATGGATTTGGAATTTGAATAAATTTGAGCAAAACTATCGATTTCATTGCAATTTAACCTTAATCATGCCATTTCTGTGCCAGAGATATTCAATTCTGTGTGGAATCGTAAAAAAATGAATATTGCGAAATTGGGAAATGAGATGCAAGAGAGCGCCAATCACGTTAAATAAGTGATATCGATTTGTGGCATTCGCTTTCTTATTGATTTTCTCACATTTAATTACATCTCAGGGTCAATAATAATAAAATTTAGATAGTTTCGTGGCTTCAAAATCAAGAGCAAAGCAAAATAGAGACAAGAGATTGTTTATTTAGGATATTTCACAGATTTTCCTAATGTTTGCCGGAGAATCTCACCTGATCTTAGCATGGCGAGTCTTTATCAATGTTATGTGCTTGAAAACATTTCGTCTGAGAGTTGATTTTAAAGTTGACAAATGATATATTGTGCTTTTGACACATAAAACTGTTTTGCCAACAGTTTAACATAAATTCTAATACAATATAATCCTGACTTTTCAAATGAAGGCACTATAAATCAGAAAATACATTGTAATGATTCAATTCTAGGAAATTACCGCGATTTTTTCGTACATTCTCATTAGCCTCTAGAATTACACTTTTCCTCCACAATGTCAATCACCCGAGAAACCCACAATGATGCGCACACATTTAGCATAAACGTTGTAAACACGATGGGTATGTAAATGGGATTTTAATTTGACCCTTGGGAGAAACCTTCTAACATTGAAAATGTCTTGAGCCCTAATCGTTCATTTGGAGATGCGCCTCGTTCATTGAACTGCTAAATTGGACAATTTTCTCTCCCTTCTTTCCAAGAATTCCTCATTATTGTTTCCTCTTCTCTCTCTCTCTTTCACTCTCTGTCCCCATTCGAAGCCCACATAATCCATATAGCAAGTTCATTGAGTACTTGAGCGCCTCAAGATCACTTTGCAACATTTGATTGTGCAGAAAAGTCTCCAGCGCTTTTCCCAGCGCAGTGTCAAGGATATTTTCTTGAAACTCTGTCTACAGAGAGAAAACTATTCTCATCATCCACTTTTCCAACTCCAACCACATGAGATTGTTTATCACCTTGTCGTTTCTATACTCCACATCCATTTATTTATTCTATACACAATTCACTCTCAGTCGAAACTATACAACATGAGATTTTCTGGCAAGTCTTGGCGTCTGGCCAGACAATGTTTCGCCACCAGAAATTTCCTCTCCTTCACAGCGACACAATCTCTCTCGTTTTTGCAGCGCGCGGAGGGCAAAAAGGAGGCAAAAACTTGGCACATCACACAACATGAGAGAATCTCACTTCGATGGCGTCCATCGAGACGCACAACCGGCAAAAATCCCCCAAAACTAACAATATTTACAGGGAAAAAGTATTTCATCGGTTAGTGTTGTAAATTTAGAATTGATAAAATTATGCCTCTAGTGATATTTTTATCATAAACACACTCTTTTTTCCCTCTCTTTCGCACTGACAAAACTTCCTTGTTATACCCAGATAATTAGTGGTTTGTGCACAGTCACAAAAATCAATGTGATTGGACACAGAATGGCAATAAAATTGCAATTAATTTGTGCTCCGCTAAGTGATTTCACAAGCACGAAAGCAAAAAAGAGGTGATCACAATGTATATGAGAGATTCAACTGGAATCAGACGAAATTTTTCGCAATTTCATACATTGAACGTAATCGAATTTGAGAGGGAATCAATTTGATACCAGATTGTTTTCCTCTACAGAAGAAGAACAGACACAGATATCATGGAAAAACCGCCAGAAGAAAATCATTATCCAACAGCTTTATATTTGAAAGGCTAATAAACAATTGTGGTGCGCTGAATTTCTCACCTGTGTACGCATTCAAATTGCCAGAAATAGGTCAGAAATCATTATGAAATTGCGTCTTATTCACCTACAATGGCGGGAGTATTGGCCAATTGACCGAGAAACACATGATCTCTGGCCAAAAGATCCACAATTGCGCAAGATTTTCTCCCTCGAATGAAAGAAAAAAAATCACTCCCCAAAGAAATGAGGAAGTCAGCAAATTGCAAACACACTTCGCGCATGTGAATTATATTATAATTGGCTTCATATTCAACAGATTGAGAAGCAATTAAGTGACGAATTAAGTATATACAAGAGACCATGAGATATTAATGCATGGAAGAAAGATTTTTATTGGAAATTTTCACCATTTAGTGTGACACAAAATATCATAATAATATTTCTGCATTTCCTGACATTGCACAACAAAATCGCCTGATTTATTTTCGTCTTCCCAATTTGGACAACAAAAAAGATAAATCACACAATAATAAATTCCGCAATAATTTGTCCAGTATTTACAAATTCCTCGCGTCCTGATAATGCGATACAATTCCATTGACTCTCGCGGCGAAAAGTGCGATGTTATGTGTCTGTGGGCTTAATTAGACACAGTAAGAAGTTCAACATTTCAAAAATACATAAGTAGAGTGTAACAAAAAATTAAATACACTCCACAATATGTAATACTCAGACTGAACAGTCTTTACCAGACACTTTCTTCTTTTTTCGCCATTTGGCTTCACACACAAACACACATTTTTCTCATTCGCGCGGTGCTTTTTTTGTCAGTATATATGGCAGAAAAATGAGAGAAGTTGTGGATAAAAAGAGGAAAAATTGCATAATTGTGAATTGTTTTATTGTTTGGCGGATTAGCGACTGAAAAAGAGTGTATCTCGCGAATTACCGTAACAACGTCCGATTTATCTAACAGCAAAACTCATTCGCGCTCCAAATTTCAAATTTTCTTCACTTTTTTCTCTCTCTCTCTTTCTGCCCGCAAATATTACATATTTTCAGTTTCAACCAAAAAAAACACAAGATAGAGAAAAACAACAACACTTTCTTCCCTCTTTGAGCATCTTTTCTTCACATCCCATTTGTCATCGCATTGTGCGTGGGAAAAAATCCCAAGCACGCAAATATCAATTACAAGTCGCGATTCGAGAGCAAGTGAGCCACTTTTCCGCCTCACAAGTGCACCTACAAAGACGTCAAAATGTGCGCCACATGTGCTGATTAGTCAGTAACTAGCTGTACACAAAGAGACTTCGCCGTGATAGCAATCTTTGCTGATAATGTGCACAGCATGTAAGAAAGTTTAGCGTTCACGCGAATAAATACACACGGCTCATAATTAGATAGTGATGTATCTGTGAAGGTCAATATTTTCTCTCACTTTTTTATTCACACGAGCCTTTTCCTCGCCCAACAAAGGCAACAAAATATCACAAAGCAAAAATTCTATCGCAATCTTTTCACATCAGACTCAAAGTGAATTGAATAAAGGGAGAGTGGAAAGTTTCTAGATCAGAGATGACGATCAACAGCAACAAGTCTTGTTGAAACTGATGGTTTTTTTTCCAATCTACAATCTTCAGCTCTGCTCTTCAATCTCAATAGCAGAATTGGCCAACAAACATTGGCGGATTCCCAGCGAAAAAGGAGACTCCGCATCGACTTAATCAGTTGATTGAGAGAAACACGACCAAGTTGCGATGCTCAGAAGTTCACCACGGAGATTAGCATCTTCCACAGTGTGTGGATTATATCAATTTTAGCGGAATTGCAGTCTCACAGACAGAGAACCGGTTGTTTGTATTCCAGCGCGTCTTTGCAATGGAAATGCAAATGGGAAAACTGCCATCAAGTGCACGTGCAACCTTGGCGATTTTTATTGCGAATATACTTTATTAAGAGACAATTCTTGCGGTGTGAGCCACGATAATCGATAAGGAGACACATGAGAGGCCTTATCAGTGTGATGGGGAGGAGCATACACGCAGAGATAAATTGCGAAACTGACAATTTTATGGCATCACCAGTGTAAATTAGGCACTGCTGATGAATAAATTCTCTCTCTCTCTGTGGGCATTTTGTGCACGAATATCTCGCCAGTGCAGGAGCTGATAGGTGATGATAAAGGCACAGCCGCGTGAGTGGCCAAGTGTCCTGCAAATATTTACCATTAGGGCCGAGATTCTCATGCTGTGAACTGCAAATTTACAGAAACGGCCATTTTTCACTGAAGATCCGTAGTAAACAAGTGACTTGAATTATGCAAAATAGACCCAATCTTAGCAGCATCTGGAAGTGTTGATTTGCCGCGCGTTCTTTTGCATACGGAATGAAGTTGAGAGGATGAATAAATTTCGGGGAAAGAGTGACTCACTTCCACGAAGCATCTGTGAGTGTCTCGAGCAATGATCCCAAGAGCCGTGGCCACGGAGCCTAGCTGTGCTCTGGGGCGCCTCACAGTTACACTCAGCGGCTACGCCACTGCGTGCACAAGTTCTTGGGAAAGTTTTTCGAGAGGCACAGAGCGAAACCCGTCTGCGCTCCGTCCCACAGCTGTTGGGGAACAAAGACCTCTGGAGAGGCGCGCACACGGCCCACACCCTCGGGAGCCCTGTGTGAACTCACCTTCAGCGACACCAAATTGCCATCGCGGGCCGCATTGAAGACAAACACTTCTTTGTAATCCATGGCAGTTGCAGTCTCACAAGGCATTCACCTAAATTCCACCTTCACTTGACGGCCCGGGGGCGCCTTTGCGAGCGTCTCTCTGACCCAAAACACACTCACTCGTCACTGGGAAGCCTAGCGGGAGCCTCCCGTGGGATTCATTATCGATTTCCTGGGGAAGAATCGTCGCAGCACTATTTTGACAGTGCGCCAGTGACAGGTTTCCGCGGGACGATGTCTCTCTCTCTCTGTCCTTGTCGTGCACAGGATGTCCTTTCTCTCGCTCTCACTCTTCTCGCGGAGGCGCCCTCGCGAGACAGGCGGAGGCAGAAGAACGAAAAAAAAGCACTCGCGACCCCACAATTATCTACAGACTTTCGGCGTTTCCTGCCCAGAAAACTCCACCCAATCAATGGCACAGGCGGTGAACTGAATAAAGGACTTTTCTGCCAAGAGACGGCACACACTTTGCGGAGGAACTCTTGCTCGGGTGTTGTTTGCTGTAGCGATGGCGAGCGACTGCCGTGTCTCTCTCGCTCTCCGCGGCTCTTCGCGGGTGCGGCGGCCATGTTGGCCACGTTGGCGGCCCTGCGCGCGTTCGCGCTGCACTTCACGCCGGTCGCTATGGTGATTTTATGGCACTGGAAGGCTCGCGCGGTGGCCATTTCTGACGTCCACGCAGCATCGTCAGTCGATGAATTGAGTGCGCTGCAGAAGGTTGCCTGTGTGTCACGTTGTCTTCGACTGAGAACACCATCCAGTTAAAGCACCGTCTCAGAGGCATTTCCCAGTGCTCTGCTTTGGATTTCCCAGCAATTTCCCACACTGTTTCTGCGTGTCATCGTTCTGCTGTGTGCCGGAAGAAAATCTCCGACTTTTCCCGCCGCGAATCTCTTTCTTCCGCCAGTGACAGCGGCAATGTGAAAAGTCTCTCAGAGAGAGAGCAAGAGGGAGAGAACGAGAGCAAGAGTGAGACAGTGAAAAATGCCAGGAAAATCACCAGTGCAAGTGGCTCAGTGGTGACGAGAGTGATTTTCAGTGGCGAAAAACGCAAGACTCCAGCCGGAGAGTGTCTTTTGGGCGGCTTTCCCGACAAGAAAGCATCCCCCACCATCAATTTCTCTCTCTCTCCACTGGAAATTGATGCAGTTGACAGCTGCTCGTGAGAGTGAGACAGATAGTAGTGAAGGGCGTGCGTGAGAGTGAGACAGAGCAGACGCGGTCGCTCTCTCGACCATCTTGGATGCTAAACGTCAAATGGCTTTTCCCCAATTTTCCCCTGGTCAGCAATTAATACCGAATTAATTGAATCAAATTCTCTCTCTCGGGCCACTCTCTGCGTTTTCAATTAATTGTGGCACCGCAGCCGATAGAGCGAGAGGGTGAGAATTGTGTGTGACGAGGAGCGAGAGAGCGCGGAGAGAGTGAGAAATTTTATCGGATATTTATTGAGTACACTGGCGCCGCCTAGAGAAAATTCAATTCACTGAAGGCGCGGAGAAATTATCGCGCGCGTGTGTGTCGAAATCCTGAAGAGAAATCGACAGAAGAGGGACGATTTTCGCGATTAGAAGAGAATCTAAGGATATCAGTGATCATCGGCGATTGCAAGAGTGCCCGGCTTGTGGTGTGATTCCGTGGACCGCCAGCTGAAGAACGAGTTTTCTTTTTTTGCGTGAAAAGCAAGACAGCGATTTGAGCAATTAGTCATGTATCCGACACCGGCTCGACATCCACCGGCAGCGGTAAGTCAATTCAATTAATTCCATTTGAGCATCACCCACAAAAACCATCCTCGCGGTTTCTTCCCACTGGGCGCCAAAGTTTGTGCGCGCGATGATCGCACATAAATCTGGCCCAGAGGAGGAGAACGATAGAGAGTCAGAAAGACGACGAGCAAAAATGCCCCCTCAATTTGCTCTATTTTGTTTATTTTAATTCGCTGCCGCGCAAGGAGTATGTATTTTTGTTGTTTGTTGGGGTTCTCGTACAGGAGGCGACAAGCGACCATTTTAAGAAGAAGAAGATGTATAGTTAAATTTGTGTTTCGCGGTGAAGTGAATTCGCGGGAATTTAAATTTAAACAATTCTTTTTTTCACGGATTTTCATTATTTTATTCAAGTTGTGAATGTTTGTATTTTCTTTTGCTCCTGTGAAGCCGCCCACCCTTTTTTCCTATACATATTCGCCCTTCTCTCCTTCTCAATTAAGTGATTATTTTGGTAAATTATTTTGTTTCTAATTCTCTGCTTCACATAAGTATTTAAGACATCTTTTGAATATCTGCTGCAGTCCACATTTTCATTAATAAATTCACACGTGTCTCTTAGAACATTTTTTTTTCACTTTAAAAGTGAGATGAAAATCGTGGAATCTTGGAAGTAAAATTCAACTTTCTCGCAAAAATTAATGAAATCCATATAGAGTTATTGAATATTATAAAAAAAAATAACTTATCAATCGATTGATCTTCCACTGTCTCCTCATAATCCGAAATAATTTCGATTGTGTTGTCGAAGAGCATGTCTACTTCCGATTCTTTGTCACTTCCGGCTTCATCGCGGATCACATCATTCAGCTCTTCATCCTCGTCTCTCAAGACTGCAGTTCTCTCCTCAAACTCATCTCCATTACCGCAGGGCATGATCTTTGCGTAGGAATGATCCCCTGTGAAATACGAGAGCACATTTAAGTCAATCAATTTACACATATTTCTATTCTGAAACTTACATAGAATTGCAATCTCTGGGTTGAGAGATTGGATGAGGTCCAGACTCGCCTCTGGATGAGCCCGGCTCAGCTCTGGAGATGTCCCAACTTTCGTCGGGAAAACTGAAAATTATTATAGATGAAATAATAAAAAAGAACAACCTGCATTGTATATAAATCATTACCTCCCTTCTTCAATCTCCTTCTGCACTTCCACTCTCCCTGCAGAGCTCGGGAAGTGGGGTGGAAATCGTCAGGCAGGAAGTGGTCAGAGCACACTCTGATGATCTTCTTCTCAATACCTGACGACTTCTTCAAGATTTTCCTCCACTTCCTCACCACCTTCTCACTCTCGTGGTGTGGGAGTTGGTGGAAGGAGACGTGGGGATTACATCCCTGGATATTCTCACAGCCAATTACACTGCAATTCATTTTTCTTCAACTTTTGCACAGAAAATTGACAATTAGAACGTGCGAAATGAATGAACAGTTGGTTTATTGTGACTTCGCGCGAAAAGAAGTCACGATGAAAAATAGTATGATCGAAATAACGGTCGAATTTTTCGCTAAAACCTAACCTCAAATAGACGATGTCGCCTCCTGTACGAGAACCCCAACAAACAACAAAAATACATACTCCTTGGCTGCCGCGGGCTTCAAAGTTTTATTGATTCTTTTTTCTGCCGCGCTCACGGATATTTTCCATAAATGTTGTTTTTTTCTCAGCCGCTCTCCGGGAGATTAACTCGACAATTTAGAGACGCAAAATGTGTTGGAAGATGCATGGGAGACACAAGGCGTTCTGGATTACTTCAATGGCGGGGGAGTTTCACTTGGGGCTCTGAATTCCTCACTGTGAGTGATCTTTAGAAGGGATTTGAGTGAAAGTCAATTTGTGATGGTTTTTGGAGGAGAGCAAAGCGAGAAACGTACACGTTTTGGTAATTTTTCAATTTATTCCTACCATTATATGTTTTCTTTTACACTTGGAGAGAATCCAGAGCTTCACAAAAGTGTTTGGATTTTGCAAGAATTTTTCTTACAAATTCTCAATAGCTTTTTGAAAAAGTCTCTTTTAAACAATTTTGGAAGATTGCAGAACAAAAATAAAGTAAGGTTATTGAACAAAAACACTTCGACGAAGTTTCGTCATTTGCAATAAATTTCATCACTCCAAAAATGATAATGCTTTAATATGGACAGAGAAAAAAGTGACGCTTATCTAAATGATAATCCGGCCTACAGTCCATAAAAAGGCTGAGCGCGCCTCAATGGAGTGAGTGTGAAAAGGCAATTGAAAAGTGTTTTTGTTTATATCCCTCGTGCGCCCGTAATATCGTCAATTTGGGAGTGTGTGTTGAGTTTATTTGCGCTCAGATTAATTTGAAATTTTGTTGAAAATGCAAAAGAGTGCGCGAACGCTGTGCCGCCTGGCGGACACATAATGGCAAATTGGCTTGAAATTGATATAACATTTCCGTCATAGATACTCTCCAACTGCGTTAAAGTGGATTTCACCATAAATCTGTCTCATTTAACATGAAATTGCAATTACGGAAATTATTACAATTTTGCATGTTGACGCTACTATTTGACTGACAAACTCCCAGCAATTCGCCTGTAAAAAGGTACACAAACTCAAAGTGACCTCAAATGTTGGCCATTGTAGAGGCATTTGGGAGATCCTTTAGCTTTTTGCCATCGCACAATTGCCTGGCTCACAGGAGGACACTTTATATTGGGAGAGAATTTCTCGTGAAAAGAGGTCGAAGGTGAATTTGTACGATTGTTTACCCGGGTTTTGTTCTTCACCCCATGGAATGATCGTAAAATCCTCGCTCTTCTGTGCGGTGTCACACGAGGAGTGGCGGCTGAAAAAGGAAATCCCAGGAAGGCTCTCAAAGAGGCGCACAGAGCAACAAAAAAAAATGAAAGAATGAAATTCCTCCACTTTTTGCTGATGCCTCTAAAATTTTTACTTCTTTCATCTCAACTTCCCTCTTTTTTTCCCTGAAATATAGGGGTGAGAATTTCCTCTCATCTCTACACAATATTTCCCATTAGCACAACGCGCGCGCGATTCTCTGTCCTCATTTTGGTGTGCAATAAAACGCACATCGAGCGCGACTTGTGTGAAAAGAGATCTTTTGATTGCCTGCATGGAAGGCCGAAAAGCCATCAATTTGCTCAACACTAAAGTCAATAAATTGACGCGCGCTTCGCCCAAGACGATGACCAGTTTCGCGCGCCTTTTGGCTCTTTCGGCATGCCAAAATTTCCACCATCACACTGTATTTTCCTCAATGGCGAGCAAAGAGCGCGCGCGTCTTCTCTATAGGCAATCTAAATATTATGTTAACAGGCGGTGGTGAAGTTGAATGTGTGGCATCGTGAGCGATATTGACACTTTATTATTTTTGGCACAGCCCATCATCATCGTTTTCATGTTATATATTTTTCCTTCTGGTATTCCGCATTAATGTGCCTCTCTTTCGCTCACACTCTCTGCCGTCTTCCTTGGCTTTTCACGTTTCCCCGGCCTGAGCTTCTCTCTGTGGCCCGAGGATGGCGATATGGGTGAAAATTTCACCCCGAGGGGATGACACAAGTGATAAAAGAGGGTGAAATAATATTGATTTCACCCCGTGTGAAAATGACGCATTGTGAGAAGCTTGTCTTTTTTATGGATCATTGTAGATTTTCACACACATTTCTCATCTGTCTGTTTATCAGTACTGCAATAATCTTGCCTAAAAGAGGCATGGATGTGGAATGAAAAATTTCAATATTTCGAAAATTTCGACATTAGAATAAGATAATCTTTTTCCTAGGGAGTTTTTCCACTAACACGCCAGATAGAGATCTTTGGGAATTTTTAATGAACTTTCCAAAGTAAAGCTCAAAGGAGAGAAAGGTGTGACAGAGAGTGTCCAAAAGATAGTGATCAAGTGCTTTGGCACTGCTAAAAGAATACACGAAGACAGTCAGTTTGCGCGTTTTGGGTGGAAGATTGACTGTGAGCGAGAGAGAGAAATTCTCAGGAGGTCAATGACGATGAAGACACACAATGAAAGGAAGGTGAAGAAACATTTGTGGTATTTGAATTAGAATTGTCAGCTGGGCGGGGGGAGCAATTAAATTTTTTGGCAGATAAGACAGTGGCGTGCTGAAGAGACACAAAAGCACAGTGAGAATTTATCCAAAGTTTTTTTCCCCTCTTGAACTTTTGTTTCTTCAACTTGGCGTAAAGGTAAATATAGTGGAGAGAATATGGCAAATTTGTACGGAGTTGTTTTTTTGTTGTTGTTGCTGCTATATATTGTATGTGTGTGGATTATAATATTGTGTGCTGAAAAATAAAAAAAGAGAGTCTGAAGGGGCGAAGGAACTCCAATAAACGGTTTTTATGTTACGTTAGAGCAAGATATTTGACTAAAATGCAAATATTTACATACCAAAGCAAACACTAATAAACATTGGAAGGTGGATTAGTGAAGGAAAGAGTTTTTTTCGGGTGTTGGGAAGGAGTGAAAAAAGAAGCACAAGAAAAGCGACGCAAAAGACGGTTTTTTTTGTGAGGGTGCGAGACTGTGTTTTTTTTTTCTTCTTCTCCTCGGGAAAGTTTTACAGCGAGGAATTTTTGCCTTGACACAGTGATTAAACGTGATTTTGTCAATTCTATGCGAAGAAGTGTGCATTCTTGAGGGTGAAATTAAATTGATTCGTTGACTCGACGAAATATTTTCCCCTCGTGTGGGGGTAATTTAATAAATTTCAGAAAAAAAATATTTATAGACACGGGATGAGAGTGCGTGGGAGGAAAGTGAGAGAGCGAAGAGGTGAAGGCGGTGGTGAATTCATCAATAAACGCGGGAAGCCTATTATTGGCGTCCATTCACCCATTCTGCCACCCACCATACACTGGGAATTGTGGGTGGAAAGGGGGTGTATTCGTGATAAAATATACAGAAAAACACACATTCGATACACTTCGGGGGAGGGAGAAGAGCCACCCATCGTCTGCCACCCACAATG